TTCATGATGAGATTCAGAGAGAGCATTTACAGTTATTTCCTTTGAATTTAAAGCAGGATGACAGATTGACTGAGAAGCAGGCTCTCCAACTATAGGTTCCTCTCTGTGCTCCAGAACAGCACTGACAGCATTTCTAAAACCTGGTTCTTCACTGTCCTGTGAAGTTAGCAGTTTTGAGGGCCATCTACGCAACTTGTATGTGCTACATGCAGTTTGCTCTTCATCTCCAAAATTCTGCCCAAAATCTGTCTGATAACACTTATCATATACTTGGCACTTCACTTCAGTTTTCAATTTAACTCTTCCAGGATTTTTAACAGTTACTTTATTTTCTTTCTTATCTTCCATGTGACGTATTGCTCCTCCATTACTTCCAACAAATTGTTCCGTATAATTTTTCGGTGACAATTCTTCCAGCATTTTTTTTTTAATTTTCTGACTTACTTTGAGGTGTCCATCATACAACTCCACAACAATCTGTCCATCTGATTCTCTGGATACAATTACAGCCTTCAGCAGCTTACCAAGGAATGTTTCTTCAAACCATCTAGTAACTCTTGCGGGAATTTTTGTTTCCTTAAGATCTGAGAGGCAGCATTTAATAGCTTGCATGGGTGTGAATATGAGGTCAGTAGCAGAGTCTGGAATAGGCATCAACTGGTCTCTCTCCACCATATTCTTATTTCCAAAATCCACAAAGTCAGCATAAAGATAGGATGTTGATTCCACAGGAAAAGCCAAAGCTCTATAAAAGAGACCATCTTCAAAGTATCTGGCTATACATAATCGTGTATTGCTGGTACCATATTTTGCAGTATTTGACATTTTACTTATGACACTAACTTTCCTCATCAAAGCCTCTATAGTTTCAGTGTTTCGATTAAGCTGACAATAGAATTTTGAAGGACTATGTACATGAGTTATATAGACCTCCTCCTCACTTCCAATTTTTATATTAAAAGATGAGTAGTAAAAACTGTACAGAGAACCCAAAGATGCAAGGTTTCTCAGACCAGTATGTTCAGACTGGGTGAGACCACGTTCTCTGAGGAATTCCTCTGCAGTAATAAATGGAGTATGTAAGCCAACTATATTGCCTAAACAGTTGGGGCTTACAAGAATAAGAGCATAAATTATGCAAGTCAATGGTCCTCTAGAAGCAGAAATGAAGTCTTCAAAATGTCTACATATTTCTTCAGACCAATTAAGTGAGTCAGTCTGTAAGGGTACATTGTTAAGTGCACATCGAAACGCTTGACTTTCCAGAGTTAGGAAATCTGGGAGAACAGCTTGAAGATCTTTAAGTAGAACTCTTTC